TCGACCCTCTCTGGCGGGGAGCGCGGAGGCGCGTCGCGCGTCCATGAGGCCGGAAAGCCGGCGCCGGCGGCCGCGCTCCCCACCCCGCCGCGGCGACAGCAGCAGGTTCGAGTTCACCACTGGCAGGCCCGTGCCCAGCCCCCCCTCGCCGGTTCCCAGCGCCACGTGACTACAGGAGCTGCCGAGGGTCAGTCGCGGGCTCGGGCCGGCGGTCGCGGCCGGAGGGCGGAGCGGGCAGCGGGGCCGGCCGCGCGGGATCCCTCCCCCGCCCCCAGCGCCCCCTCGCGGCCCGGGCCGGGGCCGGGGGCGGCCGCCGCTGGCCCAACTCCGTTGCCATGGCGACCACAGCCCGGATTTTCCGGGATGAGCCCGGCTCCAGTTTCCCGACCCTTTGTCCCAACGGAGGACGCACGTCCCTGGGCGACCGCGTGGTCAGCCTAAGGTCACTCTGCTAGATCTGGCTTCGCTGGCCTAAGCGCTCCTAGCTGGCCCGAGCCTTCGAGAGGGCGCCCCCCCCCCCCCCCCCCCGCGGAACCTGATACCGCAGGGGCTGAGCCTGGCTGGGGGCGCGGCTGACCCGAAAGTCTGCCTTGTGGGTTTTTCAGAGCTGGAGAAAGGAAGGGCCCGATCGGGTGAACTTTGAAACGGGAATGCCCTCGCTTCCAGAAATTACCGGAGCGCAGGCGTCCCGGCTTCCGCGGCCGCGGGGCGCGGAGCCGGGGCCGGGGCGTAGGGCGGTCCTCGTCCCCGGGGCGTTTCGCTTGGAAACGCACCGCAGCCGGTTGGCGAGTGCGCAGTCAGGTGCGAGTCTTGCGTTCGTGACTCATCGGCTAGCAGGTGGCCTTGGCTTTCCGCACGAAACACTTCCTGGATTTTCCAGGCTTGTACAGTTTCACGTACTTTTATGTTTTTCAACACAGGCAACTTTCTAATTATACAATTATTTTTAAAGCACAAAATCTGTTGCATTAATAGGAAATGAAATACAAAAATCTCTCATACTTTACCTCCTAGAGTCAATTACACTTACTATCTTAGTATGTATTATCGGGCATTTTTTTTTTTAATGCTTATCTATGCTTGTTTGACGTTATTGGGATAATGCCTTACAAAGATGTATTCTGCCTTTTTCACTGAACAATATTGTGAATTTTCTGACGTTTTATGATTTTTTTTAATATTCTTTTATAACATGATTCTTAATCCCAGCATAAATGCACATAAAATTTCTACTTTTCTATATCATTGTGGATTCATGATACAGGAGCTGCTGAGGATCAGTGGGCATATGCTTTTATCGCACATACTTGATTTAAAAATTCTGGAAGTGGGGAACTGATAGGTCAAAGGCAAAGTATATTTTTCAAATGTTTCCTAAACTATCTTCGAGGAAAATTTATTGGTTTTCTTTTGAGAAATGCCCCTTTTTCCATATCCTTGAAAACACAGGCTGTTTTTTCAAATTTAATTTAAAGTTGTTATTTCTCATTGTTTTGAATGTTGTTTCTTTAATTACTAGTTAACTGGCTTGTTTTTTCACGTAGTTATTTATTAACTGTTTGTATTTTCTCTTGTGTGAATTTGCTTTTGTCCCTTTGCCCACTTTTCTATTTGTCCATTTTAAAAAGTTGGGAAATTGACTCCTGTGTATATATCTGAAGAAAATGAAAACATTAGTTCAAAAAGATACATGCACCCCAATGTTCATAACAGCATTATTTACAATAGCCAAGATACAGAAGCATCCTTAGTGTCCATCAGCAGACAAATAGATAAAGAAGTTGTGGTGTACATATACAGTGGAATACTACTCAGCCATAAAAGAATGAAATGTTGCCACTTGCAACATGGAGGATATCATCCTTAGTGAAATAAATCAAACAGAGAAAGACAAATGCTGTATGTTATCACTTATATGTCAAATCTAAAAAAATAAAATAAACTAGTGAATATAACAAAAAAGAAGCAGACACACAGATATAGAGAAAAACTAGTGGTTACCAGCAGGGAGAGGGAAGGAGGGAGGGCAAGATAGGAGTAGGGGGTTAAGAGGTATAATCTACAAGAGGTATAAAATAAATAAGCTACAAGGATACATTGTACAGCACAGAGAATATAGCCAATATTTTATAATAACTATAAATGGAGTATAATCTATAAAAATTTTGAATCACTGTGTTGTACACTTGAAACTAATATGATACTGTAAATCAACAATACCTCAAAAAAAGTTGGGAAATTGGTTTTACAATATTTCACATTGTTTGGGGGGCACTCCTTATACAGTAAAAAGCCTTTTATGGTTTCTGCCTTTGGTGTTATGTTTAGAGCAGCCACACCATCCCTCCCCAAATGAAATTTTATGTTTGTATTTTTGTCACAGAAAGTAAGTTTTAATATCTAGTAGTGTAAGTACTCCCCCTATGACACAGATTCCTTTTTTTCCCCACAACTTTCTTGGCTAAAATCACTCTCTTATTGCCTCTCGCCTTCTGAGATGGCCCACACTCTGTGGAGTATGTTTCTCTGTAAATAAATCCACTTCTTACCTAAAAAATAAAAATAAAATCACTCATTAATCTTCCAAATGAACTTTAGAATTTCTTTTCAATATTTTAAAATGTTTCTTGTCATTATTTTAAAAATCCACTTGAAGAGATTTAAGATTCATGTCCCTCCGTTTGTTCAGGTCTTATTTTACCTCTCACAGTCAACTTTTCTTATTTGTAGATTAAATAGTATAACTTTTGTACTTTTCCTATAATAAAATTTACAAATATGAAAAAAAACTTTGTCAGATACTTTGTCAGAGTTTTAAGGTTCAGAAAATATGGTAGACTGTATATTGTAGCATGTAGGTCAAGTTTGGTGGTTACGGAAGAATGGATTTTTCTATGAATGCAATCAGAAGATATTGGAGTTTTTACCTAAATACTTAGTAATAATAGTTAATATTTAGGGAGTCCTTATTTTCTATCAGACATGGTGATAAAGTTTTCACATATGTATCTCATTTAATCCACTTAACAACCCTAGGAAACATACTCTTCTAGTGCTCATTTTACAAATCAAACAACTGAGATTCAGAGATGTTAAGAAATTTGCCCAAGGCCACACAGCTGGATCATGGCTGATAGGAACCTGGCCTCACTTTTCACCACTAAAGTTGTGTGTCTGGGAAAAGCACCAAGTGCTGAGCCCAGCACATAGTAATTGTGAAATACCTCTTAGCTCATGGGTAAATGTGGCACATCAATGCTCCTGGATATAATACATTTCGGCAAGAACCCTCCAGGGGAATTCCTTCACAGACACACAAAGTGTCTTCACCTGTCTGTCATCGGTCTCTCTGAGCAGAAAGGCTCTTCCCTTAAACAACACCTTAAC